GAGAGAGAGAGAGAGAGAGAGAGAGAGAGAGAGAGAGAGAGAGAGAAAGCTCTTAAAAAAGAACTGCTGTTTGCCTCTCCCTCAGGTGACCGCCATGAAAACGCCGGCGGAAGTAGTGGACGCCATTAGGCGCCAGAGCCGCACCCGCCCCGTGGAGTACAGCAAATCGCCACCCGTGGGTCTCAAATCTGGGAGAAAACCTGCCTTCCGGGCTCTTATCACTGGCGTGTTGCCCCCTACCGTCATCCGGAACTCACAGACCATGGGTACAGGCAATGGCGGGATTCAGTTGGTTCAACACGGGAAAGGAACTCCCGCCAGTGACAATATAATCTATTACAGCAACAGTAACAACAACAGTTTAAGTTCAACCTTGGGTTTAAACATTCAAGGTATTCAGAACGGTAGCAGCAGTAGCAGCAATAGCAGTACTAGCAATGGTTACTCCCAGATAAGTCCGAGAGAGAAAGGATCACCCAGGTCCTCCCTTGACGGCAGTGGGGTAGGGGGTAGCGGGGGTGGGGGGTACAGCGTCGTGTTCGACAAACACGGGAACATGACAAAGATTGTCAACAACACTAGCGCTGGACACAGGCCTCGCCCCTTGCCTCAGCCGGGAACACACCAGTACAGCAAGACGGGAACCCCAAGGCGCCAGGCGCCGAGGGCTAGCGCGATGCCCCGACTGAGGCTGACCCATGTCTCGGACTATCCGGACGGGTTTAACCGCTCCTTGTCCCTGGACGTCTCCTCGCCTCGTCCAAAGAACGGAAGACCTGACATAGGCGGCACAGATCGTGAGACTGCCCCTGGGAATTCCAAAAACACAACCTCGTCCCAAGACGTGAAAAAAGTCTTGGCAAAAATTCCTGGCCGAGATTTCACATTGACCTCGTCTTCGGCTAAAAACCGTGGTCTTCAACGGTCGAAGACAATGGATGAAACTTCGAATGTCCCACCCCTTCAGCGTGAGAATTCTACAACTCAGGGCATGACTAGCACTCAGCTAGCAGACAAGATTCTCCGCTCCAGTGACTTGGGGCAAATATCTCAGCTGTTTGGGAAGAAACTTCGCTATGCCGAGTTTATCGAGGAAGCAGAACCCCACAGACTGTCTGGCGAACAAGTCAGAACTGACTTGACCTCAGAACGAGATCCCAGCCCTCGGCTACCCACAGCCACGACGAACGCGTCACAAACGTCTGCAGCTTCTTCAGTATCGACGTCACCGCTGTCGTCAGCACGGTCTAGTTCACCTCGGAAGCCTAAGTACGTTCCAGCACCTGGCGGCGTATGTCAGCCTTCCGCCATCTCTCCCTCAAACACTTCCGGATTAGCGAGTGCAACTACAAACTCGCCAGGATCTAAAGCCACAAGTGATTCCAGTCAGGCCGAACCAGAGATCGACTACGACAAACCCATCAAAATAATCATAGAAACAAATGACAACGAAACAGTTACAAAACTGACGAGACCGATTCTCAAGTCTGTCCCAAAAGTGGAAACGTCCGAAGTCTGCACTTACGGCAACGACACAAATAACAATCACGTCACTCCGTCATATCTTAGTCAACATGGCGACAGTTGCCACAAATACCACTCTTCTCCCTCCTCTGTGAGCTCCGGCTACAGCATCGGATCACAGCTGGAATATGACGTCACCAGCTGCAACCGGGACAAAGGACGATTAGTCAGGTTTCGAGTGCACCACACGATTCACGAGTTTGCTCCCTCAGATCCTGTCAACTCGGGTGGCTACTATTGACTGAAGCCACTTGATTATGTTTAGTCTTTTCTCAAAAGCGAATTATGAAATGTTTCGACTTTAGCTGTTAACAACCTTGAACAGTCTCCATGTCGGACGGTCGTTTGACATAAAATGCACTGTATGCTCCCCGGGAAGTTGGGGTTGTTTCAGAATGATCTCAGATCTGCTGGGGGTAATAATATAGGTTGTAAAGCGCGTAGAGCTTGCTGTTGAGCGCTATGCAATTAAAGATATCTATTATTATCTTTTACCTTAATAGTGCGACCTGCAATTTCTTTTTAAAATCGTGTTGAGAAGACTCCGTTCATGCTCTGAGCTACTATTGGTAAGCCTGAGACGATTATATCGTTGCAGCCTACTTTAAAAAATAGAATCGAACCTGTGTGTGTGTGTGTGTGTGTGTGTGTGTGTGTGTGTGTGTGTGTGTGTGTGTGTGTGTGTGTGTGTGTGTGTGTGTGTGTGTGTGATTCTTGATGTGGCACAAGCTCACCCTGAAAGACAATGCTCCCGATGACGATGATGAATTTGACTTGCCAACTTTTGCCGTGTATCCAACTCCTTCGTGGGAAAAGTACAAAGTATCTCCGTCACTTATTTAGATGGATCCAAGGTTGGCTCTTTGAGGTTGGATCAAAGTGGCCCACTTTCTAATTAATTGTTATGTAAAACATAATTATTAATAATCATCAAACAGGGATCACAGCAACACAACTAAAATGTTTCTTATTTTCGATTTTGTGAAAACACCTCCCTCTTATTCAGTTGCCATTGTGTGCTTGGATCTGTAGCTGGCATAATTCATTTTAAAGTAAGTATGTATGTATGTATGTATGTATGTGGCGTCGATGGCCTAGTGGTTAGACTCTCGGACTCGCAACCGTACGGTCGTGGGTTCGAATCCCGTCATGGGCCCGACGTTGTGTCCTTGGGAAAGGCACTTTGCACAAATTTTCCTCACTTCACCCAGGTGGAAATGGGTATCCGGCTAAAGACAGTGAACGATCTTGTCAGTTTGATAGTGTTTGAGCGCGTGAAATCCGCAGCTTGCACTGTATGCTTCTGCGGAAGCCAAGAATGTTTCTGAGTGTTTTCAGAGGGTCTGCTGGGGTAATAATAGTTGTAAAGCGCATAGAGCATGCTCTTGAGCGGGAATATGCGCTATATAAATGCAATTATTATTATTATTATTATAATTTTAGTTTTCATGAAAAAAGATGGTGAGACAAACCACGTCTTCCAGTGACGAGGCATAGGATAAGGGAGAGAACAATTACTTTCTTGAGTGATCTAGGGAGTATGGAGGTTGTCTTCCCTGTTGGGTAGCGGTGTTCACGGTTAGTTATGTGATTTAATTTCCCCTTCTCACTGCTCAGTAAATTGCGGTGGACGCAGGCACAGAAATTAACTCTGGATCGAGTCACTGATGGCTTTTGTTTCTTAACAGCGCAATGTCATCAATAACATCCGCTGTTTGAGAGAGAGAG